AGGTCCACCCTAATGTCTTCATCTTAACTTGATTACATGTGCAAATATTCTATTGCCAGATAAGGTCACTTTCACAGACACTAGGGGTTAGGAGTTGGACATTCTTTTAGGGGGACACAATTCAATCCCTAAATGGGGATATCCTGACAATTTTAATAGGGTCAATATTTCAATGCATGTATTTATTTTTTATGATGAATTTTCTATGATGCTGGCTGAGACAAAAGCCAAATTGCTTGCCTTTAAGAGCTTCTTTGTTTTCTGCTGTTTGTGCTAGCAACAGTCAGAGAAATAAAACTTTTTTTAAAATAGCAAATTGTTTTTCTCAACTCATTCTGTCTGAAAAAGAATATTGTCTAGTGACCGCCCCTTTGGTCTATTGATTTCTGTGTTACAGCCTCTTTGTGTTAATTATACATTGCTTTGCTTTACAAACTCAAAATGAATCTTCAGTGATTGATAAAAGCCAGGATCCTCAGTTCAGGATCCTGAACAAATGGATGCTTCATTTGAAATCTGAATCTATGTTCACTGTGGTTTACTTGGGGTATCCGTTAGGTTTCTCTTGATTGCAAGCAAAAGGAATTCACTATTATTAATATCAAGCAGATAAGGAAACAGAAGAAAGAAGACTATTGTTGGGGTGTGTCTTGATTTGCTAGGGTTCCTATAACAAAATGCCACAAACTGGATGGCTTAGGCAAAAGAAATTTCCTGTCAATCTGTTCTGGAGGCTAGAAGTCTAAGGTTAAGGTGTACGTAGGGCTGGTTTTTTTCAGAGGGCTGTGAGGGGAATCTGTTCATGCCCCTCTGAGCTTCTGCAGGATTTGCTAGAAACCTTTACCCTTCCTTAGCTTGTGGCTGCATCATCCCAATCTCTGCCTTCCCTTCACATGCCAATCTACCTGTGTCTATGTCTGCCTCTGAGTCCAAATTTCCCATTTTTTTGGGTAAGGACATGACATGGTTTGTCTGTGTCCCCACCCAAATCTCATCTTGAATTGTAGCTCTCATAATTCCCATTAGTTATGGGAAGGACCTGGTGGGAGATAATTGAATCATGGGGGTTGTTTCCACTATACTGTTCTTTTGGTAGTGAATACCTGTCAGGAGATCTGATGGTTTTATAAGTGCTTTCCTTTTTCATTTGGTTCTCATTCTTTTTTGCCTGCCGCTAATGTAAGAAGTGCCTTTTGCCTTCTACCATGATTGTGAGGCCTCTCCAGCCACATGGAACTGTAAGTCCATGAAACATCTTTTTCTTTATAAATTACCCAGTCTCAGGTCCATATTTATCAGCAGTGCGAAAATGGACTAACACAGGATACTAGTGATACTGATTGAAGGTCTACCCATGACCTCATTTCAACTTTATTACCTCTGTAAAGACCCTATCTACAAATAAAGTTGCTGAGAGTTAGAACTCCCACATACCTTTTTTTGGTATGTGGGAGGGATATGGGGGACAGTGCAACCCACAGCAGTGAGAGAGTCATGTGCAAATGGACACAAATGAGCATCTGATCATAAAGAGAAGGAATCTAAATGTGTCTGGGCACTGCAGTGTGAACCTGGAACTCTCCAACTAATATGCTTCTGCTTAGATGTTGCTTATTGCCATGTTTCTGTGTCCTGAATTTCACATCTTTGAGAAGAGTTTTATTGGTCCAGTTCAGCTGAGATACCTTCCCTTGGCTCAATCCTCAATGATTTAGGAGTGAGGGCACAGATCAGAATGGCCATGTTTTGGGGTGTGTCCAAGTGTGTGTGTGTTTGCATACATGTGTAAGGATTTTATCCCCTATGAAAGTCAGTGGAATTATTGTGAGAGTGTGAGCTGGCAAGTGGTATCTTCTTCTGCCACTTCCCTCACCCCATCCCAATGTCTGGAGAGGAAAGACTCCCTGTGTTCTCAAAGAAGAAATGGCTTTCCATTGATTCAGAAACAAGTATTATTGATATCTGCTTCCTGTGATATGCTCTATCCTGTACTGGGGGTATAGATAGAAGCAATGGATGCTAATACTCAGCTGTTTACATGGGTAAGACTGAAGTAGGAAAGGAATTTTCATCTTCTCCCAAGCCCAGGACACAGCTCACCATGAGGCGTTGGGTGTCGTCTAAAAGAACCACATTTAGGTTCTTATGCTAGACCACTGCATGAGCTCTGTCCATGGCAATGAGTCCTGTTCTGTTGAGATGCCCAAGCAGGAGTTTCCTTACTTCCAACACCTACAGGGCTCCCATGTGCTCCCCACAACTCTCCCAGGCTTGGCTCAAGTGGAGGGAGGCCCAGGGAACTCCAAAGAGGAGATCCATTCATCATGGACCCAGGCTTGCTTTGATGTTCATAACTGTCTCCCCTTGGGGAGTTTCATGAATATTCAAGGGCATAAATTCACTCACTGGTTCAGCTATCATATACTCATGGGAATCCGGAGGCTTAGTATGTCTTCCTAAGTGTTTCATTTCCTTCCCTGGAGCCACAGAGATGCCACAAAGAGATGAGGCCCATAAACCGCTGGATCTGTTTGTCATCTTTCTTTAGTGCAAGGTTTACAAGACTCCTTTTTAACAGGGTCACCATCTCAAAACATGCCACTTGGCTGTGTGCTCCATTGGAACATTGTGTTGTGCCGGGACTGAGTTAAATGTACAATTACAACACATTTTCTTGAAAGGAATTTGACAATGATAAATGCATAGACATTTTTCCACACTCAGACAACCTGATTCCTTGCCCATCAAATGGCTCAGGATTCACTTTGAAGAGCTGGTCTCTTGTAAACAGGTGAATGTGGGTGCTGCCTAAGAAGCACATGGGCCTGAGTTCATAATGCCACTTCTACCTATCAGGTGCCATGTGAGCGTGGGCAGCTTTCTTATTCCTGCTAGCCCGAGTTTTCAATGAGCAATCTTTGCACCTTTGATAAACCTCATTGGCTATGGTACTTCCACTACGCAAAGCAGAGATGACACTTGAAAAGTTGTCACCACCATCCCTGGTTAATAGTAAGCTTTCAATGAGTGTTGGCTAGCATTCATGCAGGTAAGTTATCCTCTTGCCTAGAGCAGTAATGGCTCTCATGTGAGCTCAGATCCCAGCAATAGGAGTGTGGGTAACCCCCCATATAGGCACTGAGGAATGAGAGCTAAGTAGAACTCCGGCACAGTTAGGGCTTGAGGAATACCTCACTTTATAGTGTTACTGCTCAGCTATTTCCTTTTATATAATCCTTTACATGATCATATATTAGTTTATAGAATTAGGGCTTGAAGAATCCCTTTATATAATCCTCTATATATAATCATATAATTGTTGATAGTATGAGTGCCTAAAGAATATTTCCCTACATATATACCTATAATTATATCTTAGTTCATAATCAGAGGAATGCCTAGAGTGGACACAGTACAGATCATGGATTAAGGAATAAGCAGCTTATAATCGGAGGAATGCCTAGACCAGATACAGTGCAGAGCATGATTTAAGGGAAAAACGGTTACACCAGGACAAGAATCCATGGCCCAGGCAGCAGCATTCAGTATCATAAAGATACCTGCTGTATGGCAGGCTTGGGGCAAGAGCCACTCCTCCTGATAAAGGAGTTGTAGGACCTTGCTCCAGTTCTTGTGGAAGGCTGCCCTCAGACCGGCAATCCACCTTGGTGACTGTGAACTTTATCAGCTCTTGCTACTGTGCTTCTTGAAAAGCATCTTCCCATAGAACCCAGTGGAAGCTGCCAGAAGGTGGTGGTTACCTTGACAGCTCTGTCACTGCTATGTGACTTAAAGCATCCTCCTATAAATCTTAGAAGTAGTTTGCCCATAGATAGAAGTATTGCACACTGCACCCTCCACTGTGCACGGCCCACCTTCAAGCCTTGGTGACCTAATGGGGTTGGACCCCTTACTGCACACGGCCCTTGCCTTCATGGGAACGGGTCCCTTGCTGCACACTGTCCACCTCCTGGCCTATGTGACCTAATGGGTGTGGACCCTATATTTTATTGCTCATGACCCTATCACTATCCTTAAAGATGATTTCACTCACTGCCCTGCCCCCTAACCTATACACAATAAATACTCATGCTTCTGGACATTCGGGACCTCGCCTGACTCCGCTTATAGGTGGTGTGGCCCCCTGAGCCCAGCTGCATTTCCCTTGTACTTCTGTGTCCTGTCTCTTTATTTCTCAGATCCTGCACCTCAGCACAGCATAAGGCTCACCCCATGACCCTGCGGGGCCCTCAACCCTGCAAGGAGAAACGGTGCTTCTTGTTATTCACAAAGCAGAGAATAACCATAACTTTTCTGCAGATCCTTGAATATAATGCAGAATTGAATATAATAACAGTAGCTAATCTCTGTGTATTTATTCCATGTTAGGCAGTGCAATCAATTTTCTTTGACTCAGATGATTCAATTCTCATACAAACCCTGTGAACTTTTTTTATTTATTTTACATATTAGGAATCCTGGTGGGCCAACGGCAGCCCATTGGCCCCTCCAGATCCACTGTCCACCATTCTCTACCCTCTGGTGCCAGAAGATGCTGATCTGTATGAAACCTTAGGAAGGGAACCAGGAGAACTGACACCCTGTCTTGTTCTCCTTCCATCTCCAATTGCTCACTAGTTCTTATAATTTACTGAGGCTAGCTGGAAACCAGAAGACAAGGGTGCCCTTTGCTCTGCCTGAGGACCGAGCAGGGTATAGAAGGGAGAGTAAATTCAGAGAGCTAAGCAAATGGTTAGCACATCTGCTTGTGAACATACTGGCAGCAAGTTCCATTTGTTTTAAGTTATAGAGAACTAGATATCCCCTTTTCTGTACTGTTCCAAACTGCTTGTTTCTTTCTCCTTCATTTTCCTCATAGACTATGATCTCTTGATATTATAGCAGGAAACTTGGTGTGGGCTAGCATCTTAGTGTAATCCAGCCTCTCTTAGATTTGTGGATAGTTCATTGTGAAAAGGTCAAGATAAAAAATACATTACTAAATATTCATTTATCCTTTATTTTCTCATCATACACAGAAAGGTTATTGCCAAATATGGCAATAAAGGTTTTATTGCTCCAATTTTTTTAGCAAAAACAGACATACTTCCTAATGAATTTTGGTTTATTAGATCAGCAATGGCCAACATGGGGTTTTTAGGTCTTAGGAGACCTCGATGGTAGCAATGAAGGTCTGCAAGCTATTTTAAATATTTCAGAAAATCTAATATAATCTTACATTTTCAAGTGATAAAGCTTCACAAACAAAAACATCAAGATGTTTTGCTTTTGACTGAAATGATATTAGCTCTGCATGGTGAACTTAGTAATTTAATTCTGATCAGCAGCTCTGATTGGCAGTTACATATGCCTTTGATTAATAAAACATGGGTGAGAAAATAAATTATTACTTAATCTGTGCAGTTTGCTAGATAAAGTCTTTGAAAACCTGGAGTCAATTGGATGGAAAATAATTAACTGGGAGCTCAGTGGCGAAATAATAAGCACGATACTGGCTTGGCATGTCTCACGTATGTAGGAAAGCCAAGACAGGCTTCCAGATGGGCCGAGATCTGATAAACAATTCAAGTCGATTATTTGGTTTTAGTCATAACAACAGTAATACTAATAATAGTGATAATAGGTAACAGTTGTTAAGTGGCCAGACATAGTGCTGAAATCTCTCCTTATACTATTTTATGTCTTCCTTCCAATAGACCTAAGAGGAAGGGACTCTGATTATCCTTTAGTTCAGGTTAGTCTTCTTCAGAAGCAGACTCAGACGTTTATGTGCTGGGATAGCTTATTTGGTAGGTAATGCCAGGAAGCACTGGTAGGGAATGAAGAAAGTAAGCTGGGGAAGGCAAGGCAGCCAACACCAGGGTACATGGAAAGGCAGGTCGTCACTGCGGGAACCTGGGATGCAGCCCTCCTTGGCATGTCTGGGGACAATTTAGAACACACCTTTGAGCTGTACCACACAGTCGGTGAGGAAGCTGGGTATTGCTCCTGCAACTCTGTAATTAATTCAGAGCTGCTTTCAGGGAAGTCGACTTCCCAGAACTTCAGTTCACCCTGCAGAAGGGAAGGGAGTGAGCATGTTTCTGTGGCTAGAGAAAGTCCTCAGGTACAGAGATTTAGAGGCTTCCAGAAAGCCTCTGGTGATGTACAGGGATGTGAGCACACACCAGTAGCACCTGCTGTGCTTCTGTCCTGCAAGAGACAAAACCAAGGCTTCAAAGTTGAAATAACTTATCCAGAGTAACAAAGTGCTTGTAATCGTGTGCTCTTCCATAGAAATTTTTTGCTACCTATGCCTGAAGGCTACCAGAGTCTAGTAACGTACCAAATGAGCCTTTGTTCTTAGAGTTTTTTTCTGAGACAGAGTCTCACTCTTGTTGCTCTGGCTGCAGTGCAATGGCACGATCTCTGCTTACTGCAACCTTCACCTCCTGGATTCAAGTGATTCTCCTGTATCAGTCTCCCAAGTAGCTGAGATTACAAGCATGTGCCAACATGCCCAACTAATTTTTATATTTTCAGTAGAGGCAGGGTTTCGCCATGTTGGCCAGGCAGGTCTCCAACTCCTGACTTCAAGTGATCTGCCCACCTTGGCCTCCCAAAGTGTTGGGATTACAGGCGTGAGCCACCGCACCTGGCCTCTTAGAGTTTTTTTTAAAAATGACAGCTTTATTGAGATATAATTCATATACCATAGAGTTCACTCATTTAAAGTGTACACCTCCATGGTTTTCAGTCTATTCACAGAATTGTGCAACCATGACCACAATGAATTTTAGAACATTGTTTTTGAAATCTCCTGGAAAAAACACACTCTATCTGAGTCATACCTCATTTTCCACCATCGCATCCTGAGCTCCTGGCAATCAAAAATCTCATTCGGTCTCAGTCATGTTGCCTTTTATGGGAATTTTATAGAAACTGAATATAGTATCTGATCTTCTGTGCCTGCCTTCTTGCACTTAGTATAGTATTTAAAGGTTCATCCCTATTGTAGCAAGTGTCAGTACTTCATTCTTTGCATTGCCAAGTAATATTCTGTTGCCTGGATGTATCACATTTGTTTATCCATTCACTGGTTGATGGACATTTTAGTCGTTTCCACTTTGGGGTGACTTTGAATAATGTTGCTATGAAAATTTGCCTGTAAGCTTTGGTATGGATCTGGATCTACCTAGGAGTAGAATTGCTAGGTTATGTGGTAACTCTGTTTTTAACCTTTTGAGGAACTGCCAGATTCTTTATCCAAGCAGTCTTAGAGTTTATTGATGATTTTAATTTGCTGTTTAATTAAGCAAGATGCCTGCCTCACACTGTTTGGCAAAGGAGAAGAATCACCGTCATTCACTTGCAAACATAGATTTCCAGAATTCCTAAAGCATTCAAGAAGGGTGTTATCAGTGCATTATCAGAGTTAAGTAGGTCCTGGATTTTAATGCCTGTACTTGCTTTTTACTTATAAATGATTAATATTTTAGCTTCATCATTATCCATTTAGTTTATGGTTATGGGTTGTCTGGTTAACCCTACTGGGTGTAGTGGTGCATGCTTTCATCAAAAACATTTTTGGCCTGCAGTTTCTAAGCAGCTAGATTTTAAAGCATATACAGGTGGCAGTTCATTAAACATGCATTCATTTTTGTTTTTATTTGGCATCTACTGTGAATCAGTCACTGTGTTAGGTGCTGTGAATACAGTGGGGGGACAAAAACTGATACAATTGCATTAGAGGAAAATAAACTTTGAAAGAAGCTGCACTAGAAGATACAGCATGTAGTCATTGCTGAGATTCTCTCCATCACAAGCAGCTACTGCATTCCTGTAGTTCACCCTGAATCTAAGGCAATCTCTGCTCAAAAATGCCACACAAGAAAGAAGTGGAAAGCTTCTTCCCCAGGAGGGGCTTGCAATGTAAACAAAGACACACAAAAAATACATTGTGTGTGTCCTCCACCCAGCATCATCAAATACTACTATGATGCAAGAGTTTATGTCATCACTGACATTCATTCTTGGATTTATTATTTTTTTTAACTCTGTGTGCTAGACACTGCCTCTTGGATGTCCCACAGCTCATCAGACTCTTCAAGTGCAAAGTTGAACTCATAATCAGCCCACCAACCTCCACCCTCAAGCCAGACCCAAACCTTTTTTTTGTTCCTAGTGCATGCTTTCTATTTTAGCAAATCAAGGGTGCTACTCACCATGCTGTTTCCAAAAGCGCAAATATGGGCATGTTTCTTGGTGTTTCTGCAGGCTCCTCTTACCTATCCACCAGTCAGGCAGGTCTTAACAATTATCCTTCTACTTCTCTGTGACAGATTTGCGTCTCTCTATCCTCATCTTCAGCCTAGGTCTAAACCGCCATTCTCTCTTGCTTGCAAACTTTTGTTCCTAATTCTAGCCTTTACTCTCTAATTTCTGCTCCAAATGGCGGCTGTATGTATCCAAGCTCAGGTGTATCCTGTACCACCCTTTGGAACTCCTCTTGGATCATCATTACCCCCACGTTTAGGTCCATTTTCTTTAACACAGCAGAGCCCATCCTTCATGTCCCAGCCCCTGATGACTTCTCTTACCAGAGGCTTACGTTGAGCAGAGCCAAAACAAATCTCTTACTATCCCTAGAATATGCCAGTTTCTTTCGCATTGGAAAATTTGCATAAGATAAGCTTTAAAAAGTACTTTTTCAATAGCCTGTGGTTCAGTGGATTTCTATTAGTTAGGATATGGGTTTGGATGCCATAGCAAAGATTCAAATGTAAGTGGCTTCAATAAGATAAATGCATATTACTCTCTCAAGTGATGGTTCAGGCAGGAGCAGTTCTAGGTTGACATGGAGGCCCCACTGTGTCACTTAGAGATAAAGTAGAGACAGAGATGGAGAGAAGTACAGTCTGTCTGAAAGATGTATAGGAAGCTGAATCTTTTTTTTTTTTTTTTTTTTGATATGGAGCCTCACTCTGTCACCCAAGCTGTAGTGCAGTGGCGTGATCTTGACTCATTGCAACCTCTGCCTCCATGTTCAAGCGACTCTTCTGCCTCAGCCTCCCGAGTAGCTGGGACCACAGGCATACACCACCATGCACAGTTAATTTTTGTATTTTTAGTAGAGACAGGGTTTTACCATATTGGCTAGGCTGGTATTGAACTCCTGACCTCATGTTCTGCCCGTGTCGATCTCACAAAGGAAGCTGAATCTTGTAAATCTGGCTTCCCTCTTATTTTATGTCATTTGTGGAATATAGCCTGTACCCTCATGGCCCTTGGCAATTAACCACCACATCCACATCTTATCCCAGTCAGTGGGAAAAAGGAAAGGGGAGCCACATCTCTTTTCTTGAAGTATACAAGTGGAAAGTTGCATCCACCACCTCTCCTCATATCTCCTTGCCCAACTATTGGCCATATGACTAAATCTAGCTGCAAGGAAAATAAGAAGATATTGGTCGTTCTTTGGGGGACAAATAAAAGTTTCTGGTAATTCTTTTATGTAAAACTGATCTGAAGAAATAAGTGCATTTTCCTTCCAAACATGGCAGTCATGGCAGGGCTGAGGGCACTGGAGTCACACCACTTTTTGCTAACTAAAAAAATTTCCAAGTCAATGGTGTCAGATATTGGAAGTTCAGGATAGATAAAGGCCAGTAGCATGTTGGCTGTAGCATGCCCACTTTACAAATGACAAACTTAGAGAAGTCAGGTGCCTCCCAAGTACCCACAACTTGCACATGGCCCCCTGCTATCTTCTGAGTCCCCTCTCTGGGCTGAATAAATGTGCAGGGCAGTATGCTTTAGCAATTAAGAACACGAGCTTTTGACTGAGAAAGGTCTGGATGCATAATCATTTATTAATGTGATATTTACAAATTCCCTAGATTTTATGAGCTTCATTTTCTCACAAGGATTTTATATGCATTAAGTGGGATAATATCTAGAAACTGCCTAGGAAATGCCTGGCCAATGATGAGCACTTAATAAATGATCTCTAGTATTAGTTACTACAATTAATATTTCTCAAGCTTTTTCCGCTGTGATCAGTTACTGCTTCTTTTTGAGACATGACGACTGGAAAATGTACACACATAATTTTGTCAATGTTTATTTCTTCATAAGGCAAGATAAAGGGAGTCCTGTGGAAGACTCCTCTTCACTTTCTTCTTAATCTGCCTGGCCTGAGGTATCCACACTTGTCTGAGAGATGGCAGAGGTGGATGAGGAGCCTCAGTTCTGTCTTACTTTTAGTAAACTCACAAATTATTAACTAAGTACTCAGAATCTGCTGTGAGCCCTACCTAACCTAAAATCCCAGTTCTACCCATTCCTGGCTATCAGACCTTGGAAAACATTCTTGACCTCTCTTAGCACCAAAAAGTGAGAATAACTTGAATACCTACTTAATTTTCCTGGGAGGAACAGCTGAGACCCTTCACACAGAAGTGCTTAAAACCTTATCTAGTATATCATTCACGCTTGATAAATATGAGCTGCCTTAAAGTCCCCCATTTAAGCATCATTTTCAGCAGAGGCAGTGTGGATAGAAAGGAGAGTCTGAAGTGAGGAAAAATTTAGAAGGCAGAGTGGAAAGAACCTAGTGATGGTCCAATGTTGGGAAGATGCGCCAGAGAAGAAATGTGACAACATTGTCCTAAAAAAAAATGGCTTATTTGAGGGAATGGTTCACCAAGATGGAAAATGCAGTGGGGGAGGACCCAATTTGAGAGGAAGACATGGGTACAACCTTAGACATGGTCAAGTTGAGTGGTGAAAGGATTCACACATGGAGATAGTAAACAGGCATTAGATAGCTAGGTCTGAAGGTCTGTAGAGAATCTAAGTTCAAAACATCCAGGCTGGGCACAGTAGCTCACGCCTGTAATCTCAGGCACTTTGGGAGGCCGAGGCGGGTGGATCATGAGGTCAAGAGATCGAGACCATCCTGGTCAACATGGTAAAACCCTGTCTCTACTAAAAATACAAAAATTAGCTGGGCATGGTGGCTCATGCCCGTAGTCCCAGCTACTTGGGAGGCTGAGGCAGGAGAATTGCTTGAACCAAGGAGGTGGAGGTTGCGGTGAGCCGAGATCACACCATTGCACTCCAGCCTGGGTAACAAGAGTGAAACTCCATCTCAAAAAAAAAAACCAAAAAATCCATTTACAGGCTCCATTGTCTTCAGGGACCAGTAGCAGTCAGGTGGAAAGCAAGAAAGAGAGACGGTTAACTTGGGACCAATAAGGCAAGGCATGCCCTACCTGAAGGCCTTCAGGGGCCTTCACCTGGGTGAATGAGCACATTTTAGGAGTACACAGCCTGAGGTCCGAATGAAGCCTTCCATCTGGAAGGATGTTTAAGTGGTTATGAGTGAACGAAATCTACCCCCAGGATTTTTCTGATGCAAAAGCGAGGAGACTGGAGATCAAATTTAAAATGTGCTTAGACTTCTCTAGTGTTGCTGAAGTCTACATCAGATAGTATTTTGGTGAGTAAGAAGGCTTCCCCAGCAGTGTTCATGATCTGACAGCTGTAACCAATACCTGACATTTCTCTTTTGGATATAAATAATTATCTTTCACAGTTATGGCACATACACAACAAGAAAATTTCCCCTGTAATTTGGAAAGCCTCTACTTTACAATTCATGTTTACCTTCCTGAATCTTTTCTACATTTTAAACTCCTGTTTTGTTTAAAAAGATGACAGACACGGGAAAGCATTGGTGATGGCAATATAATTAAAGGACATTCATTTCATTCAAACCTGCATGATGATTTTGGGAGGGCTTGGAAATGCTGTTTTGC